GGCGCTGTGGTCCTGCTAAACAACAACCCTTACCCAGCCCAACCTACCACTTAAGACTAAAACATTCTCTGGGGATGTGGATGACATGGATTTCAGTTGTTCATATTTCCTTCACCTCCCAAATGCTTCCTCTGAGACTTTCTATGAGCCCTACATAATTTTAACAAGTGAGAAGGAGACAGGCTATAAGGGTTGAATCTAGATTCAAACAGCTCTCTCCAAAGCTCCTGTCTTAAGGGACTGAAGTGTCAGCTTTTTTTCATCTGGTACCTCCCTCCCAAGGCTGCAAAATGAGATACAAATCTAGGAGTGAGAGCTCAGTCAGCTCCAAAGGTGGTGGAGTTAGCAAAGAGGAATACGCAGATCAGACATGCCTGTTACAGGGCAGCTCATTGGCTCAGCACAGGTAGTTAAACTGATCTCCCTTTGCATGAGCTACAGCTGCTCCTCAGTAGTTCTGGGTTACAGGCTGATAGCTTCTAGAGTCTCTGCTTGGATCCCCAGGCTTCTGCAAAGGGCTTATTCACACAGGCTGATTAACAGCAGTGTGCTGTTCCCCATTAGCTCCTGTCTCTCTTACATCTCTTAAATCCTTGTTGGAACAGCAGAGAGCACCTTCTGATTTCCTATTTCTCAGGCATTTACAGCATACAGACCTTCACACTACAGTTTCACCAAAAAGCATAACACATTAACACTACCTGTCCTTCTGACATATCTACAAAAACTACAGTGCTCTGGCAACTCCCTCTTGCTCCCTGGCATCCTCCTCTCAAATCCCTGCAAGTTCTATCAGGGTTCAGCAAAGACAGGAAAAATCCAGCAAAGACAGGGAGTAAGACATCCTCCCAATTCACCAAGAGGTCATTTGTACTCAGGATTTCCTACGTTGCACATGTCTTCCATGAAGCTACAGTACATTCTGAATGGTCAAGGTGATAGCTTTTTTCACTGAGCAGTCTTCATGGAATATAAAATGCATTTACAGCCTGCTGTTGCTGAGGGTTCTGTGAATACAGGAGCTCAGAGAAGTAGCTGAAGCTAAATCTTCAAAGCCCACGTCACAAGTAAGAGAGCCTTTCAGAGCTCTGAGAACAAGGTCACTGAACAAACTATTTACAGTGAGTAACAAATAGTGAACAAATGCCTTATTTGACCTGTGTTATTCTTCCATTCAATAAAACCTAGCATGGCAGGAAAGGCATCAGATCCACAGGCAGAGGTACATCTGGCCTCATGGTTAGAACAAGACACAGAGCAATGTCTCTTGGACCAGTATCTCCCATCATCAAGACCAACGCGTAAGGCAAAACTCCTAGCCCATACTGCCAAGAAAGATAAATAAAAGCAGCACTTCTGTGTCACAGCGATGTTGTCAAGTTTGTTGCTATCTAAACCACCAACTTACCAGATGAAAGCTGTCAAAAACTAGCATCTCATCAAAACACATTACGTGAGCCACCACATTAATCTATGACCAAGGGCAACAGCAGAATTCACTCGACTCAGTGCAAACCCAGTTACTCTTTTCCCAGTTTGTATCTGACTGCTTATAAGCCATCAACTTCAAAACAGATTTTGTTTTTAATGAAACAACTGGACTCACTGCTTTTCAAACACACATTTACTTTTCCTGAGCAGAGCCAAATATGCTAACAACATAAGACAAAAGATGCCCTGTGCAACTTCCTGCTTCATTCTCCCTGAAATACTAGGTTTAATTTTCTGTAGCTGTAATCAATGCTAAAGGTGCCTCACAGGACACATGTTGTTTGAGAATGACAGACATATGAGCACCAGACTAGGCAGTATTGTTGTGTTGTCACTAAATTTAACTCCATTTGCCAGCTACCTGCAGAGAGTCAGTATCTTTGTGAAGCCTGGTCAGATTGCAACTCTTTCCTTTGTTCAAGGCTGAAAATACACACAGTGAAGTATTGATTCCCTGCTAGCTTACCTGACAGTATGTATTAAAACAAGATCTTCACTGCTAAAAGCATGTACAAGCAAGTCACCATGGAGGATACTAAATTTCAAATTAATACCTCCCTAGTTCCTCTGTCATATCTGTCCTCATATGCACATGCTTTCATCTCAGACTAAATGAGATTTACTCTGTTTTCATCGAGGAATAAGCTACCTTGGACTACTTCACATTTATCGTGGGTTAGGATTTGCACACACAGAGTTACCCCTGGGTATTGAATATGCTGTAGGTTCACAGCTGAGTTTGTCCCCATGATAATTTCTTCACTTGCGGGCAGCTTGATGCATAAGCATGAGCTAGCTTGAGGTTTAAAAAAAAAAAATAATACAGTGAATACCACTGGACTGTGCACTGAATTAGGGGAGGTCAGCACTGTGTGTGCTAGCTGACTTTAAATGTTTGCCTTCTGACACCTTTTTTACTTTTTAATGTGTCTTCTTCACATTTTTAAAAATTTGGAAATGGCTCACAGGTATTATCCACTTGCCTATATACACACACATACAATTATTCTGAGCTGTGACATGATTTTAAAATGAATTGGCCATTGCATCTGAAAAAGAAGTAAAATACTCTTGCTCTCTTCTACTTGACATATACCATTAAAAGAATCACAATTCTTTTGTGAAAATTTAAATAGAAAATGCCCATATATGACACATTATTTACAATTCTTCATTAAGCCCCTCCTACCGAATCTGACTTATCATGCCACACTCCCTAATATTAAATGCTGTCATTAGGCAGGATCTCACGCTGTTTCAGTCTCAGCACATTGACTTACCAAGGAAACTGGAAAATTAAATCCAACTCAAACACTGATTTCAGCACTGATGAAAGAAGCTGCCTCAACTGCGTTGGCCCCTATCCACAGCACGTGCACTGGCGATGCAGACTTCCTGCTTGGTGCTCAGCCAGCGTGCCTCAGCCTACATTAGCAGGAACCATCTGTGGGGATGAAAGAAGAGTTCAACTTCCAAATTTACTTCCAGCCTTGAGAGTAGCCAGGCTACTCTCCTCTCCAGGAACCACTAAATAATACAGCATACAGTTTGCTGAACTGGCAGTCTCTGTTAAGGGCAATCCCTATGTCCATGCACTGTGTTTCTCATTTTCGCTAAACATTGTCTTGAACATTATTATCACAGACAAGATTTAATGGTGGATGATAAGGCAACTCCTATGAGAATACTTATAATGTACTAGCATCCCAGTTGGTCTCATACTGCTACACAGGTCTTAACGGCTATAATTAGCTCTTAGACAGCACTTGTCACACACGTATCTTAAGAAAAACTCTAAAAAGAGACAAGTGCTATCACCCCATTTTAAAGACAGGGAAACTGAGGTATCGGAGGGAGGTAATGATAAAATGTGAATGTCAACAGCAAAGTGAGGCATAAAACCACATCTCCTACAACCTAGCTGGGTGCTCTAGGCTACACAGTTGGAAAGCTCCATATCCCATTACCCATATACTGAGTTGCTGAGTTCCCCCAGCAAGGATCTTATTTTTCATTATGGAGTGAAAAATAAAACAAGCCACAGGGCTCTAACTCCTCCTGCAAGCCAGAGACACACAGCAAGAAATTTCTGTGGCAAACAACACTGAAAATGCAGCCTAACACAGAGCAAAGTGTCAGTGGCAAGCTAGCCTGTCTAGGTACCAGAGTGGTTGTATCACTCATTATTCAGGGAGAGCAGGGGAGTTGGAAGAGTTACTTCAACTGTAAGAAAACAGGCTGGCTTCTGATTAATCCAAAATGCTGCTGTTGAGATGAGTGAACTCATGGTCACTGGCATCCAAAAACAAAATGTAAAGGTTCAAAAGCAAGCCACAACAAATAACTACCTTCTAGTTCCCACCAGTGGCCAGTCAGATCTTGGAGACAGGCTCAGTAACATACAGCTGGTTACTCCCAGCAATGTAATACAGCTCTGAAACCGAAGTTGTTAATACTAAGAATTAAAGCAAATAGAGCAACTGAATTTCATACTTTTTTTTTTTTTTGCCAGCATGTGAGACCAAGGACTCAGCAGTTTATTTTACAGAGAAATACCTGTACTGCTCTCAAACATATCTACCTTACATATCTCTATGCCACCTGTCAGTTCTAAAAATAAGGTTCAAAAAGCTCCTCAGCAAGCCAAAATAAATAAAACAGCAGGCCCTACTACTCGCCAGAAAATGGCACCCAAGAAGGTAAGAGAAATCAGGTGTTTCATTTTTGTTTTTTTTTTAAGCAAGATGACAGGACACCAGGAAACCATAAGAAAACCAGAGCAGAGTCAGGTCAGAGCTGTTGGCCCCAGGATCACAGCCAACTACTTCAATCCCTTTCAGATGCAGAGTCCAGCATTTCAGATGCACATGCAGGCCCAGAACATCCTGAGAACTGCTTTGGAGATACCTGCTGGCAAACCAGAAGTGAGCCAGAGCCAGGCTCTGGACACGTCTCCCCTTCCCACATTCACAGCACCCCAAGTCAATGCTCCTGTATCCCCCACCTGCGAAGCACTGGCTGGGTGCTTCACTCAACCACCCCTAAGTCACAGCCCGCATGGAAAGGAGGGCAGGGCTGCTCTCCCACACATCTGGGACCAAACCATCCTCTCCAAATCGTGGCATGGCACCTCATCCTAACCTAGGGCCAGCACAGAGGGCCCTCCTCACAGGGCACAAACCCTGCTGCCCAGTGCCTGGACCTTCCCTCACCCACATACTAACCTGGTCCCTCAGAGGCTGAGGGGACAGATGTGGCAGCTTTAAGGACAGCTGTGCCCCTGCTCCCACCATGGGGCTTCTCCCAGGGAGAAAGACAGCCTCAGCCTCCGCCACAGCCCCACCGCACACCCCTCACCGCGGAGAAGCCCCTTCCCAAAATGGCCGCCACCCACCAATGGCCACCCCACAAGATGGCCACCACCACCTCCGACAGCCCCTGGTGCAGCTACACACGCCCCGCACCACCCCGGCCCGACCCGGCGGGGCACAGAGAGGCAGAGACGAGTCCCCGAGGCGCCATGCTTTATTCTCAGGGGTGGAGAAGAAAAGGAAAGGAGTTCAGGGGACAGGGCGGCCGAGGGGAGGGCAGGGTGTTCACAGGTGGGTGGCCCAGCGAGGCCAGGCCAGGCGGCACTAGCAGGAGGTGAAGGTTTTCCAGAAGAAGTTTTTGCAGGGGGCCTTGCGGTCCCGCTGCGATAGCTGGGCAAGCCGCCCCAGCACTGCTCGCTCCTCCTCCAGCTTGCCTTCCTCTTCCACATCGGGGGAGGCCGCCTCGCGCCCCACATCCACACTGTCCAGCAGGCCTGCCAGCATTTTCAGGATGGCGTCTTTCCGGACTGTGCTCTGTTCCTGTGGGCAGAGAGCAGGGGAAAGTGATGGATGGAGGCCCTGTCTCTCACGGTCATCGAGGCAGGGGGATGTTGCAGGGTGCAAACATCCCCTGCAGGATCCCTTCTCGTTTCTGTGCCTGCCCCGGTGCCCTGTGCTCAGAGCCAATGCTTTTCCCATCGGCAGAGCTGTGCCGAAGTCGAGGAATCTGTGGCTGCAGAGGTCACTCCTCCTTTCTCCCGTCCCCTGTCCAGCTGGCTGGAGGGGGAGAGGCACACGTGCTGTATTGCAACTGGAAAAGAGCTGCTAACAAATAGGCATGAATTGGCTGTAAAGTCCCTTGCTGCCTGCACTAATTAAATTTCAGTGAATGCCAAGCTGCCTTCTCTCCCAGTAAACCCATGCTCTCTTCACTGATCTGACTGCTCAGCCTATGCTGTGGGAAGGTCAGGGAAGAGTCAGAGTCCTAAGCAGTATTAAATTAAGCGCACCAGGGGCTGCAACCTACTGTAAAATACTGAGAATTAAATGTAACAAAGGAGAAGGCTGTGTTGATGGGGAGAGAGACTCCCTAAGTATCTGGAGAAAAATATTTAATCAGTGGAGACAGGCAGCTTTTATTTCCAGAACTAGAACCCATATTCAATAGCCTGACCTTGGGGGAAGGCAGAATGAAAGAAGAGTTGCTGAGCTCCATCCCCTTCTCACAGCAGTATACGAAAGAGCATAGCCTGTGGTTTGGGGCTTGAGGGATTTCCATCAGTAACAAGCTGTGAGTTATCATGTTTCTCTTAACTTTACATCGAGCAAATCTGAGGAGTTGCTTCTTGCCTGAGCATTCCTGGTCTCTGTGACTCATTAGCAGAGACAGTTGGTACTGGACAAACTGGGATAGATGGTTTGACAGGAACAGATCCTGTTTCCCATGCAGATGGGAATCTTGGAAGCACATTTCCATGTCACTTCTCACAAATGCCGCGTTTACTGCTGGGACTGCTGTATCTATCTGCTGGCTCTGTCAGCACCATCATTTGCTAAGGACCACTTGGTAAACAACTCAAAAGATGGATAAACACAGGCAGCAGCATTTAGTTTGAGTGTATGGATATATTTTAATCATGTTCTTAGCTCTAGTAACTAACACTTCTTTCACACAAGAGAAACTGAGGCACAGAAAAATTACATGCCATGTTTGCAGCAGAAGAAATGATAAAAGCCAGTTTGTGCCTGTCCTGATTCCTACTCCTGTGCTGTAAGTACAGAAATGTCTTGAGCCTTTGGGAGATGGACTGGGACTAGGGAACCCAGCTAAATGTGTCTCCTGGGTCATGTCTTGTAAGCTTCTTTCCTAGATGTCGGTGCTGTGTTTTGAAATAACCTTCCCCAAGCAGAGCCAGCAGCTTCAGGCTCAGCAATGAGGAAGGCAAAACTCAGCCTCCTATTAGGGGATATTCTATACGCATGATCAGCTGTGACAGTTAGTGAAACTAGGCAGCTCTTCCCCTGCACTAATCCATTGCTAACATCCTTTCTGCTTTTAGCTGTTCCCAAGCTACAAGAGAACCAAACTCTTTGGCAGCACCTAAAGATCTTAGCATGGGTGGGTTGCAGCACACCTTTGGGTACCTGCTCAATTCCCTGTACTACATCCACCAGTTCAAAATGTGTAGTTCTTTTGCATTGTTATGGATTTTATGGTGGTTTATAAATAAAACCCCTGTATTCTTCATACTTAAAACATCTGTCTGAGTTACAGCAGTGATGACTGTAGGGATTGGTTCATCTGTATCTAACAATTTTCCAGTTTGTAGAATGCTCTAAAGAGAATCATTACATCTATCATATCATTATTTTGCAATCAACAGTGTGTAGAAGACTAAGAGTCGTTACACCTGAATTAATTTTTACCAAAGCCTTATTTCCTGATTTATTCCCTACAACTTGCTTCTTTTTTCCCCAGCAACTAGCATTTGCACTAGAGTTTACTTTATAAGCACTTGATTTGTTATTGTAAGAATGTACAGCTGAAAGTTTACAGTTATCCCCAGAAGGGTTAATCCCAGCCAGCTGCTGAAGCCCTGATCTCTACAGAATGCTAGCCCTAGCACCTCACACTGCGTAGGTTTCTTTCTTGCAGCCAGTTTTGCTGTTAATGGGATGTGAGCCTGCTCCTGAAGCAGTAAGACACTGATGGATGAGCTGGAGCCAATGCTAAGACAGAAAAAACAATGTGGATACACACAAAGGAGTAGTTAGTGCCTTTGAAACCAACACTGGGATCCTCCACTTCTCTGGGTAGCTCCTCTGCAGGACTGAAATAACTGCAGCCTTATGGATACAGCTGCAAACCGGACTGGCAGAGTGCGGGGTGAGGAACCACAGCTCAGAGGAACATCAGGGATGGCAAGGAACATGCAGGTGAGACAACTGCGGGGCGAGGGCAAGCAGAACAGAGCACTTCCTTGTGATTTTGTTGTGCTATGGCTTCCTACCCCTTTGGCCTCTTAGGGAAATAGTCCAGCAAAACAAAGTTATTATAGCACTATAGCCATTATAATATTAGAGTTTTGCCAGTTGGTAGGGTAATTATATTGCTATAATAAGTTCTGCCACTGCATAGAGCTGTGCTGGTTCAGAGTGTAATTATTCTAGCAGAACTATGTCAGTATAACACCCCTTGTGAATACTACTCTGGAAAAAGCAATTTTATTCTGATATAATTACTTCATTTATTATTCCTCTGTTACTTTCCTACTAAACCCATCTTTTAAACATTTGTCCTTCCCCTGAGTCCTATTTAAAATATCATCTCCCTTGATCATTTTACCAATTATGTATCTTTTCTCTCCCTCCCTAGTACTCTGCTTTATTCTCTCATGCTGTACTCTTTCAGCAATATTTTCTCCTTTTCCTCCTCTCTGCTCTGTTCTTTTTGCCAGCTTTTGCTTAGCCCAGACTTCAGTTTTGCAGCTCCCTGGCATCTGCCCTGGTACCTAAATAAACTGACTAGTAAGCTGTAGTGATAGCCTGTGCTTCAGCAGTGCATGAAGCTGGAGTGCCTTAGAATATAGAGGGGTGGAAGAGTTGTATGCATCAGGTAAAGCCTAATTGCCCTTATTAGCCCTCCCCTGGCTCCAGCCTGCTTCTGCTTGCTCCCACCTCACCCAGCTCCTGCACAGGGTGCATTATACTCACCCTAGTGTTCTGTATTGCAAGTCTCTCTTCTCCGGGCAGTGCAGTGGCTCTCACGCTCCACACCAGCAGCAGAACGGACACCAGGCTGGCCACCAGCTGCATGATGTACAGGCTGTGACTACTGTGCTGAATGAAGAAGACTGGGAGAGGGAGCTCTTTCTGGGCTCTCTTCTGCCTCAGACAATGGCTGCAGCCCCTTTTATAGCCCTCCCCCTAGCCCAGTGGGTGACGCAAACAATTAAGTCTATATCAAAGGCAAATTAGACTTTGGAGAGGTTGTTAACACTTGGCTGCTTGAGTGGGATACTTCAGTGCCTCTGGGCTTTCCATGTGCCAGACCTGCAGAGAGTGAGGCAAAGGTTTGGGACTCTCCAGTAACATGCTGTTTCTTCACCCTGAGAAACTGTAGGCTCGATCTGTGTTTCTCCCAGTTAGCTGAATTCTGCTTGGGAACATAATGTTGGATAGAATAGGCCACCAGCTTGCACAAACCTATGGCCAACACTGGATGATTCAGAGGGAAGAGGTAAAACTTCTGGCCACCAGTCCTTAGATACAGGCTTGGACCCTCAACCTGTGTGTCCAAACAGCTCCAGACTCTAAGGCTATTTGAATCTGGATTTCTGTCCCCAGTGATGCATCTCACTGTGGAGTGACAGTATTCCTGGCTTTCCCCTTATGGTAACATGGGGACACAGGCTGCAGCTATGCAGTAATATAGTCTGTCTTGCAAATGTACCTAAAACTACCTGGAAGCCAGTTGGAGGTTACTGGGTTTTGTTCCTAGTATTGTTTTAATAAATCTTGAACCTATCCCAGAAGTATAAGTCAACACAGAGAATCCTGCCTTGGAGATGCTGGGTTTAAATGTATTAAAGGGAAAACAAAATACCGAAAGTCTGGTCAGAGCTGGAGTTCCTCTGCTCAGTGAGGCTTCAGGAAAAGGCTCATGGTATGCTGTCACTGACTGTAGACTGCTTGGAGGAAGTTCCTACCATTTCTGATCTCTGGTTAGCAGTTGGTAATAATGCTTCTCCCTTTGCCCCAGACGCTGTCCTACCAGTGAGATTAGTTTGTGGGCCAGCAGAAGGTGCTCTTAAGCACTGCTACCTGCTTTACATTGTCCCCATCATGTGGGGACAGCGTCCACTGTCACACACCTGTGAGATGCAGAGATAGAGCGGATGCCATCTCACCACTAGCCTTTTCCCCAGAAGCACCTGCCTTGGGGCAAGTCCTCTACTGACCCTAACAACAAACAACAGTCAAAAGGTAAATTGTTATCCTAATTTAGCACATAAAATAAACCCACAGGGAGGTGACTTGGCCAAGGCAATGCTGTGGCAGAACTAAGAACAGAAGGCAGAAAAAACTGTTCCCCACTTCTACCACTTACCAGTATTATGGTTCCTGGAAACAGCATGATGAAGTCTTGCCTAAAAATAATCCAGCTCCTAATACCAGTTACACCAACCTGGATGGTCTTGAGGAAAAAGATTCCATCACTTCCATGCATATTTGAAAATAAATGCTGGATTCTCTCACTGAAAGATACAACGAAAAAACCTTCTCTGAGTCATATGGACTTGTGGGGAAAGGTGACAATCTAGTCATTTCTAGAAATGAATTTTCCTCAGAAAACTTTGTAACCTCATTGTTTACTCTCTCTCCTTCCCCCCCCCCCCACCCCCCCGCCCCTCCCCCTTGTGGGGGCTGGCTTCCATGCACCAGTTTTAGATGAAACATTATCTATTTCTTTTTAAACGGATCTTGCTAGTTGATCAGAATTGCTGTTAGCCCTTCGTAATGGATTCTGTCAAACACTTCCCAGCCAGTCTGGGGCTCGAGACAGAGAGCAGTGAAGTACCAGGCTCCAGCAAGCAGACAAATCACAGGGACTTGCCAAATGACCCGCAGCCAATTTGCTCCGGGAGAGGTAAAAGTGGGAGAATAGCAAATGGAGAAAGCACATTTGGTTGCTCAAGAGGAACGAAGGGCAGGTACCTGTGAGTGTGAGATGTGCCTGGGCTGACAGGCAGGCGGAAGGTGAATCCCATACTGGTGGTTATGAGGCAGGACTAAACCTTGTGGGCCTACTAGCCCAAAAACTAGACAGACAGCAGGAGCAGTGCAGCCAGGTCTCCATGCTGGGGCCCATCTGGTCTAACCAAACTGCTTGTTCTAATAAATATGGTTTTGTTTTCAGCTTTGCCTTCTGGATGGGCTGTTTTCTGTAATGCTTCATTGAGCGAATGGGGTCACAAGTATGACAATGCTCTTCTACCAAACAAGGGATGATGTGCTAAACCAGAGATCAGCTTCTGGGGAGGCCCACAGGGATGTAAACAGTGACCAGGCAGCCGTGAATCTGTCCTGGGATTAAAGGGCAGCAATAAAATATTTGTTACCTCCTGAGGGGGATGGCTTTGGAGAACGTTTCTGCCAGCACCAAACCTGTGGCCCTGTTGATGAGCACAGTGCATCCAAAACCTGTACTTCTAGCCTTGGAAAGGCTGGGTGTCTCTTCCCAGCTGGGAGGGAGGAAAATAAGAACACATCAAAGCACTTGCACTCTAGTGCCCACATTAAGACTGGCTCTCTAAATTTAAACAAATTCCCTCTGAGCTCTGCTACAGCATCCCTCAATATCAGGCACCTCTTTTCCAGATTCCTTCATCTTCCATAGTGCCTTTCCCTTTCCTCAGATTCCCTCTGCTGTTTTTCCTACATTTGTCTGTCTTCCTCAAGTTCTGGTCCTCTGGCCCCTTTGCAGAGACCATGCTGATTCTGCTACCACCACTGCTGACCATCTCCTCATCATAAGCTATAGCACCATCTCTTTTTCCAGAGGAAGTAAAATAACTCTGTGATGATAAAATCTGCTTTTTAGTAACTGGAGAGTTCGGCACAGAGCACCAGGATTGTTTTTCATTCTTACTGTTCCCTATTCCCTGTTACACTGGCTGTCTGACCTTTAAGGCAGCCCCAATTACTTTTTTTTGCCAAACCTTAAATGCTTATCACTCTGTACAGGAAAGGTTAAAGGTCTTCCCTTGGAGGAATAAACATTTCTGACCATTCTTTTCTTGATTTCTTCATACTGCTTTCTCTCTGTTATCTGACTCACCCCATTAGAAGTCTTCTTCCTTGATGCTCTCTTCTGTCTGCAGTTGCATGTGGTCTGAGTGGGTTTCTACCAATTTACAGTGAGGGTAGATCTATCTGAAATCAGCATGGCTGTGAACACATCCATGGGAGCCTGGCAAGGGTGGGGATGCTCCAGAAGGAAGTTCAGCATACAGCAACTTGAAAAAGCCTGGCTATCCAAGGATTTTGTTTCACACTTAGCGTGCCTTCAGCAGAGATGCAGAGTGGGTTCAGTACAGCAGAATATGCTTCCACAATCACATAAGACAACCTCCATCTCTTTTTGATTAAGGGTGCACAAGCAACATGCAATGGGAGAGATCTTATATTTCAAGAAAGAGGTCCCTGACCTTTCCTCAATGTGCCTGTACATCAGCAAAGACTAGGCATTGCTGGAATACAAAAGCTAAGACTACGTCTGGCACCACATGCCACATTAAGAAATGAGAGAATTTCTCTTTGCTTTCCTCTATGGCCTGGATACTTGCTGTCTTCTGCCCATTTGTTGCCTGGTCTGGGTTCAGATCACTGTGTCTTGAAGCACGTAGCAGAATTGCATCAGGCTTCCAGAACAAAGTCTGGTTCCCAAAGGTGAAGCACTCGGCTGCAGCTGAAGGAAGGGTTCAAATGCTTCTGCTTTCCTGTCATTGGAACCCTTTCTCTCTGCCCTCAGGTGTCCCTAGTTGCAAAGGCCAGGGCAATAAATAAAGCAACAGTCAGCTGACAGTTGTGAGCCTTCCTGGAAGAGGAAACCAATTTGTTCCTGGGCCTGAAATCACAGCTCATTTATCAGGCTGGGCTTGCAGTATTCCCTTGCACTGCACTCCCCAGGGGCCTCTGAGGAGCAGGAGCATGCAGGTGGCTGTTCCAGCCACGGCATTTCATCGGCACTAACCTAACAAACCCAGGGAAGAAACTGCGTGAGCGTGGGCTGGAGCCTACTGCTCCCACTCATCTCTGATAAGAGCTGCAGAGCAGGTGCAGGGAGGAGGAGGGGAGTACCGCAGGGATGCTGCTGTCAGAGCACGCACGACTACAGGCCTGTTGCAGCTCTCCAGGGAGGTGGAACAGGGGGAGTTGCGCTGCCTTCTCTGTCTGTCGACCCCAAAGGGACTGCCAGAGGATGAAGGGAGGGTGAGCATAACGCTTCAGTGGTATCCTCAAAAACTTTTGTTATTTCAAAAGGCATGCAAAGTTAAACCTTTCAGGTATTGCATCAAAAATCTTCCTCAAAAATAACTACTTGCTATGAAACGCTTCTATTTCAAAATACCTCTACTTTCCACTGAAAATGTTTTGCCTGGCTCCAAGTAGGAGGCATTTCTGGCTGTGAAGCAGACTGAGGATGCTTGGGGTTACCACCTACTGACATATAAACTGACCCCTGTTACACCAGACTCTTCCTGGTGGTGGCAAGACGAGGCTTGGACAGAAATGTTTCTTTAGCATCTGGATTTCCTGAGGGATGGCATATGCACTGCGCCTTGTGGGAATTCAGTCAGAAAGAGGTCACCAGGGACATTAACACACGGGACTGCAAGACGGCCAAGCACTGCAGAAGGGACCGCTCGGCTGGGAGAGCTTTAAACAGGAATTCATACGCTCCAGATCACACGGGGTTCGCCTTACTCCCCTCCTATAGCTGAAGCGGGAGTGAAACACATGTAAGGTCATCGCATCCGCCCTCCTGCCCTTAAGCCTGGCACACAGAATTACCTTTGTTAAGCAAAGCCCTGCCCGGCGGTGCCTGGCCATGGGCTGCAGCAGCAGCCAGTCAGTACCAAGAAGGTGGCAGCCACCCCCACGGGGTCCCCACTCCCACTGGCCCCCAGCCCTCACCGCCCACACCCCGAGCCCCGCGGGCTGCGGAGCTGGTGTCCTTGAGAGGCCTGCCACTGTGATCCCTAACATGCATAGCGATCTCCTTTAGCTGCTTCACACATCACTGTGCTGTAATTGAGATTCCCTGGTTCTCATTCCTCACCTTTTGCATATTTTAAAAGCACTTCACTCCATCCTATACATGACCAGGAAGGACTGTCACCTAGACTTCCCCGTATTTAGACTTGGTTAAATTTCTCATCTTACTTTTAAGCAACACTTTGTCTGACTCCTTTGCTAGACCTGAGCTGCTGTTTCATGCTTTTGTCCACACTTTCACCCTCTTCTTCCCCTAGCATTTTATCAAAGGAACTTTCCTCTCCCTGAACTTGGTGGCACTTATTACTTTCTGACTGTTTGCTTACCGAGGCTGCTGTTCTCTCATGAAAGATGAATTGTCATTCCTACTTCGGGAGTCTCTTGCTCCAACCAACCTCCATCAATAATTCAGCCAGGCCTCGATAACATTAGCTCTGGATGAATACGACACTCATGCCAATTAACTGGCTGAAAGGGCTCAAGAGATACAAGCAAGAGATTTCTCTTAATTTTTTTAAGCTCTTTTCTGAACTT